AGATCACGGTGATCGCATGTTAATGCAAAGTGTAAACGCAGCCTTTGTAGCATATAACAACAGCTTGGCTGTTGGGGAAAAATATATATATATATATTTTGGGAAAAGAAAAAGAGAGGGGGAAAAAAACAAATGACAAATTTTTTCCAAAAATAATTTACAGAGAAATAAGAATTAAAATAAAAGGCAGAATGCCTAATGAATGCCTAATGAATTGAGTAGGAATGAGGAACTGAGATTTATACGCTCTTTAAAAATAAAGTTTCCAAAACGGTGTTTTTGCATTTGAGAACTATTTTTGGTTCCTCAAAGAATTTTTTGTGGAATGGAAACTTTATGCCATTAATGCTACAGATTCTTCATGGAACCATCAATGCCAACGAAGAATCTTTATTTGTAAGAGTGTAGAACTATTTTTGGTTTCTCAAAGAACCTTTCAGTTAGCAGTTCCTAAAAGAACCATTTTTCTTATCATAAAGAACATTTAAAAATCTAAAGAACCTTTTTTTCACCAATGGAACGATTCAGTGGATGTTAATGGTTCTTCGTAGAACCATCTATACCAATAAAGAACCTTTATTTTTAAAAGCGTAACCTGCTTGATGAATCCTTCACAAACAAAAAACAAATAAAGAAGAAAAAAACACAGCAACATGATTTAAAGATTAAACTGAATTTTGATGTGTAGCTAGTGTGAAAAACCAAGAGGTGTGGATTAATTTTAAATGAAGTTTGGCTGAAGTTAGAAGCAGCTGAGATGAACTCACCTGTCTGTACTTGTAGATCATGAAGATGAGCAGCAGCGCTAGAACCACCATGGCGACTGTTGATCCACACATAGCGCTTGTGAAGAGCTGATCTGAGACAAAAACACACTCGCATGATCAATAAACCAGGGAGATGAGTTCATATGGTTTTTAAAGTCTGAAGCATTTGTTTACCAGAGACGTCCATGGCGAAGGTGTCGCTGCCTTGTCCGACCAGATTGAAGGCCACACACACCACGGTCATCCTCTGGTTGGACGGTCCCACGCTCAGCACGCTCAGCACGCTCTCCACACCCACCGACCCATACGGCTCCTTCTGTAACGCCAGCGTCTGAGTCTGGATGGGCTGAAGTCCCGTGGAGTTTTCTGGACAGCTGATGAACACATTATACCGCAATAATCAAAGTCTTTCAGACGATCTAGAATCTGAACTAATTACACTGGTCTGCATCTTATCTGCCAAATAAATCCAATACTTGTTTCTGACTAATTTTGAGATGCTGATTCCAAATATAGTGTCTGTTTTGCTGGAGCACGTCACACTTTCTCGCTAAATATGTGCATTTTGTAGCATTTTTGTTTTCGATGAGCATCTGTAAAGTGAAGAAGTCTTGTATTCTCCCTTAATCAGTGGAAAAACACCACAAACACATAATTCCTGTCTTCCTCTGAGCCAGATTACAACTACACGTTCAATTCTCAGCCCATTTCTACATGTAGGACATTATTTTATGCCTAATCCTGACTGAAGAAAATGCAACTGAGTCAGATGTCTTCTGCTGCATATGTTTTACTGCATCCAAACAGCCATAGTAAAGGACAGATTTAGTGAAAAAAGCTGATTTTGCAAAGTGTCAAGTGCATTAAATGGTGTATTTGAACATTTTTGATTTCGACTGCTTTTGTTATTTTTAAGTGCGTTAAAGCTGATGAAATAGAGTTTTTATAGATTTTTTTTAAATGCATCATCAAATTAGACAATATTAGCTGCTGTTTGAGTTGCCTGTTCATGTCTTGTTTTGTGTTATTTCACTCTTGTAAAAGATTGTACTCTTGTACAAGAGTTTTTATTTTGCTGGTTATATGTTAAATGTTGCACAGCATATGTGTCTATGGAGTGAGATCAGTAAATGAAAAACTTTTGTCAGGTTAAAATATCTAACCTTCCCAATAATAATGAGTCTGAATGATTCATTATTTAAAATAGGGTGAAAAAGGTTGAAATATGGTCGCATCCGATTACAGAAGTGAAATTGATTGCTTTTCTGAGTTTCTAATTAAAAAAGATGTAGGGAATGACCTGAGGAACTGACTAGATGGTGAAACGTGTTTCTATATTCTGGGTGGAATAATGTGCACTGATGAATCATTCACAATAAAAGCAAAAATGTGCATTTCGAAAGTAGAATAGTTTTGAGCTCATAACAGGCTGTCAGTGTCAGATGTCTAATAATGACGTACGTGGTTCTGATTCCTGTGCACTGATACCAGAGGATGCTGGGAGCTGGATATCCATAAGACCTGCATGACAGAGTCGTGACATTCTCCCATCTCACCGTCGCTACGGGTTTTGCTGTGAAACAAAATCAGCTTTAATGTTGCAGAAGGAAATGTTGTTCTGGTCTACAGGTTCTGGGTTCAGAAAGTTCAGCTCTATCAGCAGCACTGATTTCCTCAAAATGTGTTCATTCCTCAAGCTGTAGTAATGAATTTCCAATGGAAGTAAACAGACCCAAGTATACAAGGAACTGAAAATACAGACGCAAACACTGTGTGTTAACCTTGTCTGTCCAAAGTTATATAAAATATATTAACTCCTGTTATGAACATGTACAATTGTCCATGTTTACTGTGTTTTAAATGTATGGACACAAGAAAAAAGATGATTTAGACAAATTAGAGCACTTTTTTTCAGGAATAATTGGTCAAACTTTTCAAAAAGGTCCTATTAGTTATTGCCTTAACATTAACAATGAGCAATACAATGATTAAATACATTTATCTCAGGTTCATTGAATAATATTAACCGATACAATTTTTGATTTTAATGTTAAGATTAATTAAACCTTTTTTTAACATTCATCTGGAATATAAAAAAATTAAATAAATGAATATAAATATTTAAAAAAAACATACTGAATACATGTTAAAATACATACAATTAAAAATATGAAATATTTTTCCATTTAAAAATGCAACTGTTGATTGTAAGTTCATGTTATCTCTGGTTCATTAAATAATATTAACAGATACAAGTTTTGATTTTAATGTTAAAATTGGGTATTTTTTTAATGTTAATAAAATAAAATGTTAATGTTAAAAATGTTAAAATAAATGTTAAGGTTAATTTAACTTCTGCTTTTTACAACTGACGTGTCTGTTTATAAGTGCTGCTGGTGAAGCTTAACTTGGCGAATCAGACAACTGAACAGCTGGTATGATCAGGAGGCTCTCGATGGCCAACCGATCCCCTTCCATCATCGATTTCTCTTCTGCACGGGGCAGCTGGGAATGAACCGAGAAAAACAAGTCTCTTCTGCTCAACAAGGCTGCATTTATTTGATGAAAAATACAGTAAAAATAGTAATATTGTGAAATGTTATTACTATTTAAAGTAAGTGTTTTCTATGTGGATATATTATAAAATGTAATTTATTCCTGTGATCAAAGCTGAATTTTCAGCATCATTACTCCAGTCTTCAGTGTCACATGATCCTTCAGAAATCATTCTAATATGCTGATTTGCTGCTCCTGAATTTTCAGCATCATTACTCCAGTCTTCAGTAGGGCTGTCAAAATGACTGAAAAACTAAATTCGAATTTTCCACTTAAATATTATCAAAATTCGAATTATATAATAATTCGCATAATTTCATTATAATGAAATAATGTTTATAATGTTTATAAACCCTATATAATTAATAAAGTTGCTTAAACAATTAGAAAAAAAATCCCCAGCACCATGCATGTATGTATAGTTTAATACAAAGGACCCAAAACCAATCACAAAAGTAGGCTACTTTCTTCATTTAAAAACATGAGATACAGTGGGATGGGGAAAAACTGCCATAAAGTCTTGAGACATGTTTTTAGCAGCGCCGCATCTAGTGGGTTCAACTGAATAGGCTAACAAAAGCATTAAAATGCAATGACACTTACAATGTCGTCGCATTTCGTTCGTGCATCACTGATAAGGCTGCCTGACGGCTGACGTAGACCTACAATTCGAATGCAACGTTTTTGCACTCGAATGTGGATTTTTTTTTTTTAATTCAACGAAAATTCGAAATTTGATTTTTTTTTTGACAGCTCTAGTCTTCAGTGTCACATGATCCTTTAGAAATCATACTAATATGCTAATTTGCTGCTCAAGAAACATTTGAAATAGAATCGTTTGTAACATTATAAATGCCACTTTTGAGCAATTTAATGCATCCTTGCTGAATAAAAGTATACAAAGAGAAAATCATAGTGATCCTGAACTTTATATTGTATATTGTATACTAAATTGTATATTTATAATGTATTCTTTTATTATTATTATTATTATTATTATAATTTCACACCTGAAGAAACTGTTTCCCAAAAATTGAGTTTAAAGGCCAATTAAATAAGATACCATTGACTTTTGAGTCTATTGTTGGAGTCCTTATATTTTTAATTTTTAAATACTTTATCCAGAATCAGATGTGATACTGAGCCCAGAGGTCAGAGGTCGTACCTTTCTAGAGGAGTGCATCCATGTGACGTTATAGTAAAAGTTGGGGTTGTTTGTGGTGCAGCTGATCTGAAATTTCTCTCCCACCAGTTTTACATACTCGCTTCTCTTCAGAAACACGTACGGTGGAAAACGTAATCCTGAATAAAAAAAAGGATAGAGGAGTTATTAAATGAGTAGCTTTTATTATGGTACATAATGGTAAATTTAATGATAATATTAATTAAATATTGTTATATATAATGAATACATTTTCATTAAATATTCAATATTTACATAAGTCCCATGAAATTTTAAGTTCATATTTCAATAACACATTCACATGTTCATGGTTCTTTGGTGTTGGTTGATGGCAGGTAGGTAAACAAATAAAAATATTTCATTTTTATTTGTTTTTATTTTCAAACTATTTATTTACTTATTTTACAATTTAATTGATTATTAGTTTTTCATCAAGTCTATTTTGGGAAACCCTGTTGTACATTATTTATTCAGCGTAAGAATAAATTGAAAACCTTTTTAAATTTTTAAATGTTTCAATTTATTCTTATTCTTAAAATTTGAACTGTTTGTCATTTGATTAGACAATTATTTATTGAGTTAATAAATGAGTAGCTTTTATTAACTTTAATATCTTGTTACAGTTTTGATGCAGTGAATCTTGTACATCAGGGATTCCCAAACTTTTTGTCGGCCAAATCCATTTGATCTAAAATATTTACTTGTATATTTAATAATATTATTAAATGTAGTGTTAATTGTATATTTAATATATAAATATATAATTAATATAAATATAATTAATATTTATATATTAATATATCTATATATTTAACTATATTGGTCAGATTTAATAGTATTAAGAGATTTTAAATTAATATTTCAATTATTAAACAACACATAGTTTACACAATTCTCTGATGTCTTTATTTCTTTATTTTGGTTGATTTTTAATTTTTAAAATTATTCATTTTAATTTGACATTTGATTTTGTTGATTATTAGCATTCATCAGCTCCAGTTTGGCAAACCCTTTTGTACATTATTCATTCAGCAATAATAATAAATTGAAACATTTTGGAATTTTGTGAATTCAACGGTTTGAAATTCAAAAATGTTTGTCTTTGAAACAGTGAAATCACAAAATTCCAAAATGTTTCAGTCTGGAGCTTTTGTCCTTTGATTCATATGAAAGCACACATGGGTTTCAATGAAACTCACGTTGAATGATGTTTATTGAGAATATCTTCGACACTTTCTCAACCCCTTTGATTCTAGCGCTGCAAATGTAGTCGGCGTTAAATCCAGGATGAACATTGCGAATCAGGACGCCCTTTCTGGGGTCAAAGGTCACGTTCATGCCGTAGGGCACCGCTGAGCCATTATCCATGCGGAAGGTGAAGTCTGTGGCGTTGGGGTCGGTCAGAAGACACGGAAGCGTCAGATCTTCACCTTCTTTCCGTACATAACGCAGAGACGTACTGGGTGAGACGAAGAGAATTCGGGGATCTGTAACCAACACAGATTCAACATTCAACTTGTTTCTGCATTTATAAGATCTTGTTTCTACATTTATAAAACGTGTTCCCTATCGATACTTCACTTGTACTACGTCACTAAGACGCTATGGGAAAAAATCTTTTTTTCTCCGATACTGAAGCCTTTTCAATAATGCAGTGTAACGGCATGGCCATTGGTTTGTGCAGTGAATAAAAAACGAACCAATGGTGAGGCAGCAGAGCTGCACGAGCCTATGGTCACGAAGCCCGCCAGAGCCCGCCAATATGGGCGGGGCCATCTGGCTATATAAGCGGGCATTCTGGCACAGGATCCTCAGATTTCTTCTCCTTCAGCAACGACCACGATCTTCGCTCTACGAGACTCGAAGCCTTCACCATTGACAAGCCTCGCAGTGGATCAAGAATTCTCTGCTCGGCTGACTTCGCCGCTCCTGCTAGCCGATTCAGCGTCTGCAGCAGCCGCGGTCTCAGCGATCCCCTGCCACCATCCGTCAAGATATAAAAGAGCAAATTTCTCTGCGTTGTTGCAAATGCCACAACGTTACTGTCGCTCTTCCGCTGACGGTCACGATGAATGCGTTTCATGCCTGGGTAAATCCCACGCAGAAGCCGCGCTGATAGAGACTGAGTGTTCACACTGTGGGAACATGAGTCTCGCCTCTCTGCACTCGCTCCCAGGTGCCTGTGAGGAAAAAACAGCGGGGCAGAGGACGTCAGTGCCCGGAGACGAGTGATGTCACCCCGGCTCAGGCCCCGCGTGCCTCACTCTTTTCACACAGAGAGGCTTCTCCGCTGCGCAGAAGTCGTCCCAAGCGATGCAACACTTCTTGCCAAAGCGCTCCAGCTCTGCAGCTGCTTCCAGCTGCCCCCAAGTCTGCGTAGACTCAGCAGCCCGCGAAGCCTGCGCCTCCAGTGGCCCAGCCAGCTCCCAAGCCTGAGCCTCGACAGCGCTCCTGCTCGGCTAGACGCTATCCATTTCCTAAACGCTAGGGACCTCGGCCCAAGATAGTGCTGGACCTGGCGCCTCCGGCGTCATTCTGATCTGCGGGACAGGAAGAGGAGGGGGCTAAGTCTCGCTGTAGCCAGACCACTCCCAAGAAGCCTCGGTTATGCCTCCAAACACCCAGTTCAAGCGCCCACACACCTATCCGCTGTGATAGCGGGCAAAATAAAACACAAACATACTCAAAAAGAAAGCAAATTTCCTCTTCCGCTTATCACGAGTGTCGTGTCCCCTCGCGGTGTCTTACTACTTGAATCAATCCAACCCCATGTCACGCGGGCCGAGGCCTGGCAGGCCATCCCCGGAGTGTCAGACTGGGTTTTGGGGATAATAAAACGAGGTTACTCACTTCAATTCACTCAAAGACCCCCGCGATTCAGCGGTGTGGTTCCCACCTCAGTACAGAGCAATGAGGTGATGAATTTACTGGCAAAAGGAGCCGTGGAGACGGTTCCTCCAGCTCAGAGCGAGTCAGGCTTTTACAGCCGTTACTTTCTCGTCCCCAAAAAGGATGGCGGCTTATGGCCCATCCTCGATCTCAGGCACCTGAACCGCACCCTCATGAAACTGCCATTCAGGATGACTATATTGAAACAGATCCTCTTGCAAGTATGCCCAGGGGACTGGTTCTTTTCTCTGGACCTGAAAGATGCCTACTTTCATATCCAAATAGCCCCCCATCACAGACGATTCTTGATATTCGCCTTTGAGAGAATCTCTGTCCTCCGTGGCCTCGCCCTCCACATTTGCTAGGTTTTACAACCTAGACGTCCCTGCCTTACAGGCTAGGGTCCTTTCTGCATAGTTGGCACGCACCTGTCAGAAGGCGGGACTAGCTCTGAGCAGGGTTTGGCCGTAACACGCTCAAACTCACCAGGATTGCTTTACTTCTTGTACGCGCTCGGCCCTCCCTAAGTGCCGAGGCTGTATGACATTTTCTTCGAACGATTGTCCAGGCTGGGTGTGACCTCTGTGAGTTTACCCCGTTGCCACATGAAGGGCTTACCCTATTATTCTTGTCCCTCTGGGCCCCTTGGATGCTTAAGGCAAGTTCACATATCAGTCGTTCCTCTCCTCTACCATAGCACGGCGTGATTGTACTGGTTCCCCATAGCGTCTTACCGACGCAGTACAAGTGAAGTATCGATAGGGAACATACGATACGGGAACGAGTACTGCGTTGCTAGCCGTACTATGTAGCTGCACGACTCAGTATCATCGCTTCAGACAAAGTAACCTGAGGATCCTATGCCAGAATGCCGGCTTATATAGCCAGATATATAGCCAGCCCATATTGGCGGGCTCTGGCGGGCTTCGTGGCCATAGGCTCGTGCAGCTCCGCTACCTCACCATTGGTTCCGTTTTTATTCACTGCACAAACCAATGGCCGTGCAGTTACACTGCGTTATTGAAAAGGCTTCGGTATCGGAAAAAAATGACTTTTTCCCATTGCATCTTAGCGACGTAGTACTCGTTCCCATATCTCAGGGAACTGAGGTTGCGTTAGTAACTGAGTACGTTTAGTTCAGAAGCAGAAATGAAAGCGTTTGTTCACTCACCCCTGACAAACACATGAACCGAAGATGACTCATTTGAATCATTTCCGTTCATATAGATGCATTTATAAGTTCCTGTAAAATCCGCCGTGGCTATATCCACATAGAAACTCCGGACATTTCCGATTTCCTTGGAGATGAAACGCTTCTGTTTGGCCAGTCGGGGAAACCATGTGACTGGACCGTCACCTTCACAGATCAGATGAAGAGGAGAACCGGAGTCGAGAATCACATCCGTACCAACCGGAGCTCCAGAGTTCAGTCTGATCCGCGGCTCAGACCAACCTGCCAATCAAAACACAGACGGAAAGATAAACCTGTAAAGCCTGACATATGAAATAATAGTCAGAAAATTTTTTTTTTTAAATGGAACAGCTTATTGAACGAAAAAAGTTTGCATTTGTGTTTCATGTGTTGTATCATATTTGATCCATCAGGCTTCTATGGCTCATATATGATATAGTGAGAATATGGAGGAAAAACAGCTCAGTTTTATTCAGAGACTCAAACTAAGCAAAAATATGCAATTTGGTGCAGATGCTGATATTTATATGGACAAAAATTGAGATGAAATTCTGATTGTAATGCAAATCAGTGAGATCTTTATAACAGTATAGCAGATACTTACAGAAATTATATAAATATTACGTCACTCTATATCTCCAATAATATGTCTTAGTAAGATGATATCTAAATGCTTCAGTTTTTATGATCAAAACAAATAAACGTTCCTCAAAAGATGAGATTTTAGATGTTGTAGAGGTTTGGGAAGATCATTCCTCCAATGAGGAACGGTGGAAGTAAAGGTTCTGGAAACAAAATCCAGATGATCATATTTGACTCTCATTTGATTTTTCTAAAAAAAAAAAAAAAAAAATGAGTTCTGGATAATCAAGTAAAGCTAAGTTGCATCAGTCCAGTAAGTGTGCATCTTGAAATATTACTAGCAGTATCAAAGTTATTCTTATGTTTACTTTATAAACATTGGTAAACATTTCACAGCAAAAAGACACATGAAGCACAAGATGAAGGTGGACGTTTGTACAATTATACTCAAAGACCTTTTACTTGCTAAAAAAAGTCTTGACTATCAATCAGACAACAGAAGGCATGTAATAGATTGTGTGTGACAGGTTTAGCAGCACAGTTTTGATCATGTTCATCATTTAGAGGCCTTAGAAATTTGTGTTTCGAATATGATCCAGTATGGTTAATGAATTACTCCATATTCTTTAAAAGAGAAAACATATAAATTCAGTAAAAATGGATCAAAATGAGAACTTCTCTCATCATTTTGCAACAATGAATGTTTTATGACTCACAGTAATGACATTTTGAGCACTTTCTTGACCTCTCATTTACCCAGACATCCATAAATTTAGTCCGTTTTACCAATAGGTTAATGAAACTGAATTTTGCAGTACTGTTATTTCCTGTATATTTCCTTGAAGCTGCATTTAAACAATCTGTATTGTACAAAGTGTTATAAATAAAGGTGACAACTTGAATTCAAACTCTAGTGTACTGCATACTGCACACTTTATATTGAATAGTATTTTTAAATAGTATGTGAAACAGAACAGAATTAGCTGAAGAAGTGTCATATTCTGCAGATTTGATCTCAATTTTCCTGCAGTAAAACCACAAACCATTCACTGTAGTGTGTGGTTAACTAATTTAAAACTAGTTTTCACATGAAATCTGACCACCTATATCTCGGTTTACAAAGTTCTCTTTCAGATTTGTATTTGCGAAAAGAAGACTGACCAGATGATGACACACTTCTTCAAAGGAATAATTCACCCAAAAATGAATACTTGTTTAAAAATGACCTCACCCTCAGGCCATCCGAGATGTAGATGAGTTTGTTTCTTCATGGGAACAGATTTGGAGAAATTTAGCATTACATCACTTGCTCACCAATGGATCATCTGCAGTGAATGGGTGCCGTCAGAATCAGAGTCCAAACAGCTGATAAAAACATCACAATAATCCACAAGTAATCCACACCACTCCAGTCCATCAGTTAAGGTTTTGTGAAATGAAAAGCTGTGTGTTTGTAAGAAACAAATCCATTATTAAGACCTTTTTAACTTCAAATCTTTGCTAAAATATGAGTCCCCATTCCATAATAACGCTTTCTCCAGTGAAAACATTGTTTTGTCTGAATTAGGAGAGAAATATGCACAGATCAAGCACCGTTTAGAAGCCAAAACAGTTCTAGACAAATATGCTGGTGGATTTTGATGTGAGAGGACAAAAGGACTTTTTCACTGGAGGAAGTGTTTTTACGTAATATGGACTCTTAGAGCTTAAAGCTTCAAACGTTTAAAAAGTGTTGATTATGTATTAATTACAAACTCACAGCTTTTCATTTCACAAGACATTCATTGATGGACTGGAGTGGTGTGGATTACTTGTGGGTTATTGAGATGTTTTTATCAGCTGTTTGGACTCTCATTCTGACTGCACCCATTCACTGCAGAGGATCCATTGATGAGCAAGTTATGCAATGCTACATTTCTCCAAATCTGTTCCCATGAAGAAACAAACTCATCTACATCTCGGATGGCCTGAGGGTGAATACATTTTCAGCAAATCGGCTCTCTTTACATCAGAGGCTGGTTTCATAAACTGCTTAGGCTAGTCTTAAAAAGTTAGTCATCTAATTTATTTTCTTCAAGACTGGTCATAACTTTTTAAAGTCAGTTACAAAATTGGTAATTTGATAATGTGAATAATGATAAGAGAAATGAAAGCAGTGTGTGTGTTGAGCTATAGAGAACATGTGGAGTCAGTGATCTGCACTGCGCAATCAGCCCAAACATCCCAATCCTCCTCTCACTTCTGCTTTCTCATCTGACGCACAAACCGGAATCATTAAGACTTTTCCCCCATCATATTCAAACTCAACAAGCTATACTGAGAATTTAACATCAATTAATCAACCAATTTACAATATACAAAATTCCCCAAAGCCATTTGAGTAGATTGCAAAAACTGATGTTCTTCCTCAGTATTTTTGTCATTTTCTAGTGCAAATATCTGATGCATTTACTTGAGATGCAAAACGACAGAATTAGAAGTAAGTTTATTATTTAAACAAGAACAAATATCTGCCAACGGGGTCAGAAAAATTCCAACTGAAAATAAGTAAATTTTTCTGACTTTGTTGGCAGATATCTGCTATTGTTTAATCAATTTTAAAGGCTTAAAAAGGTCATTTTGCAACTCAAGTAAATGTATCTAGATTTAAGAATGTTTAGATATTTGTACTGGAAAACGACAGAAATACTGAGACAGAAATACTTTTATGCAATGTTATTGTAATTATTCATTCCTTTGTATTTTTCCAAGTAAGAATATTTAGAGAACTCACACTGTGCTCACAGACATACAACAAGTGCTGGAATCATGTGTTAAAAAATAATAAAGTTATGGCGTTATGGACAGTATAACTGGACTTCATATTTTATAGGAAAGAATTTCTTACTAGATTCAGAGTATAAATTATGTAGTTGAAAATAAACTCTCAAACCTATAATGCGCAGAAGAACTACAGTAAATCCAAATCCAACAGTTTTCATCCATATCAACCATAAATGCAAGAGTATACTGAACAATAATTCAACATTAATATTTACATTTACATTTAGTCATTTAGCAGACGCTTTTATCCAAAGCGACTTACAAATGAGGACAATAAAAGCAGTCAAAACTACCAAAAGAGCAACAATATATAAGTGCAAATGACAAATCTCGATTAGCCTAACGCAGTACACGTAGCAAGGTGTATATAAATATATATATATACACCTTCACACACACTCACTCACTCACTCACTCACTCACTCACTCACTCACTCACTCACTCACTCACTCACTCACTCACTCACTCACTCACACACACACACACTTTCACACACACTCACTCTCTCACTCACACACACACTCTCTCACTTACTCACTCACACACTAGAACAAGAGCTTGAACAAGGAGTTGTGTCGCATGTTCTGAAAGAAAGGGCCTGATCTTCTGAATATCAGCACCATTATCACTGTAATCATTTTCTGAACTTGTGGGACAAAAGTCAACATGTCAAATCTGCCTCAGAACCGATTTCAGAAACATCGAGAAGCAAACGTCTGCAGAGATGCAGACAAGAACCAGATCAAGAACCGTTTCACGTCCATAAAAACAATCAAAAAGTACATATGATTCTTCATGTGGCAGCAAACATTTTTGGAAAAGAAATTTGTCTTTTCAAACTTCTGAAGATTTAATGGAGTGTTACGTCTCATTTACGTATCAAATTTGTCTCAGATGTTTCTCTTTAAATAATTCAAATCAGACGCAAATGAGTCACTACCCAGCTAATGAGGAATGTTCTTTCAAAGTTCTCTGGTCTTTTAGTAAGCTAATGTTCTCAAAATGTTAGCACAAAAACATTATATATATATATATTCATGCTGTTTGTGGAAATGTTTTGTCTAATGTTACTACTCATTTCAGAATGCTCAGAGAACTTTTAAAAGTAACATTCGCAAAATTATAAAATGGAAGAAAAAAATAAAATTTTTAATACATTTAAGTTCAGGGAACATTCACAAATAATGTTTTCATAACTTAATGGGAACTTTTTTTTTTGGGAAAAAAATGTTTTTTGGAACATTGTGGAAAAGTTGTTTTGAAATGTTTCTAAAACGTTAAAATGTCCAGTTTTCCTGTCGTAATTAAAATGTTATTTAATGGTTACAAAAAATGAACTAGATCTCATCAGTAATTTTTGATCGGTAAGTGCTGATTTTCTCACCCTGAGCTTGAGCAAACAGGATCCCACAGACGAGCAGGAGCGCAAACATCTCCGAGCGTTCATCAGTCTTCAGCGTTTCAGAGGAAATAAGGACTGATCCTTTGGTCTTTCAATACAGACTTCTCATTTCTGTCTGACAGGATATGACAACAGTGGCAAATCAGCTGACTGTGTAATAATACTAGAAACAACATCAAAAATAAACATTTTGTTAAGATCATATCATGTAAATCATTCATCAAAATTAAGCAAAACCGAAAATAACAAGCACACTTACCTATTATTATTATTATTTTGTATTTTATCTTTTCTAGTACAACTATCTAAACATCCTTAAATCAAGAATTATTTACTGCAAAATGACTATTTATAAATCTTGTTTTCAGAAAGACAGATCAAAATGAAGTTTACATTTAAAACATAAAAAATTGGGTCAGAAAAATCAACAAGATTATTTTTCTTACCCCATGGACAGTTTTTTTCTTCTTGTCTTAAGCATAAACTCACCTAAATTTGATCATTTTTATCAGAAAACAAGACTTGTACAGTGCTTGCATAATTATTAGGCACGCCGCACGTTGATATTCTGATCATATTTAGAAAATATGTTACCTTAGTGCTGCGTTCAACAATATAGACCATGACATACTCTTAGGTCGACTACAAAAATTACACTGGTATTCAGGGACAGGCATTACAGTGGTTTAGATCATGTAGGGTGACCATATTTGAGTTTTCCAAAAAGAGGACATGGGTTCGGGCGGGGCGGAGGGCTGGGGTGTGGTTGGTTGGTGGTTAAAGTAATGCCCAAAGTAGCGCAATGACCATATTCCAAATATCAACATTATATCAAAATATCAAAAAATATGTAATTTCCATACCTAAAATACATATTTTACAGTCACTGTTGTGCATAGTGATCATAAACACAGCTAAAAAGCTTCCTACCAGTGGCCCACTTCACTTAACATCTAGCAATCATATTTAGCATGCAAAATGTTTCAATACAAGTATTTCAAACATATGTGATTTATGCAACATTTCAAACCTTTAACCCACGGGGGGAAATCAATCCGTGGCAACAGTTTAAAAGCAGCCTGATTCCAAGGGGGAAAAAACGTGGACTTGACAACCCTGCATGCATTCAACACCAGCTGTAAAAGTCAGATTTGACTGATCACGGGATGAGAGGAGAGATGGCTGACAGACCATGCTGGATGATTTGCTGATCAACAGATCCTGAGCTCATTGACAAATATCTGATCTTCCTTTACACAGAGCGAGCGTGATAGTGAAATCGAAAGTGAAAGTAAACAGCGAGTGCTCATTCAAAAGAGATTTAAATACTTTGTATATTGATAGCAGCTTCCTGATGCGTGAAAATAATATGCCATATAATGTTTGCAGGAGCGGGCGATAATGGTCAGAAATTCAGCTTGAGCGGGATTTAGAAAACAGACTCGCAAAGGGCTCTAATACAAAAACGCACACGATGAATGGTGACAGTAGAAAGCATTTTTATGTCCGAAAAGAGGACATGTCCGGGAAAAAGAGGACGTATGGTCACCCTAAGATCGTACTTAGCAGACCGTTACCATTTTGTCTACTTAAATGGTGAAAAATCCAAGTTGACATCAATAAATTAAGGGGTGCCACAAGGATCCGTGTTAGGCTTTCTGTTATTTTCAATATACATGCTGCCACTTGGCAACATTATTAGAAAACACGGAATTAGTTTCCACTGCTATGCCGATGATACTCAGTTATATATTTCATCAAGACCAGATGAAATCTCTAAACTATCCAAGTTGACAGAATGCGTTGACCAATGGATGACCAGAATTGCTCTTCTATTAAATTCAGACAAGACTGAGGTATTACTTATTGGACCAAAAACCTGTGCACAGAATCTCTTAGAATACAACTTGCAACTAGAAGGATGTACTGTTATGTCATCATCTACAGTAAAAGACCTGGGTGTTATATTAGACAGCAACTTATCTTTCAAAAAATCATATTTCATATGTTACAAAAACAGCCTTCTTCCACCTCAGAAACATTGCTAAGCTACGGAACATGTTATCTGTTTCTGACGCAGAAAAGCTA